CCGATCAATACTGCGAGGTGCTCTCAAATCCCGCCGGCTTGATGTTGATGGTTGAATGACGACTATTCATGATTCTACTTGTTTCATATTCAATGTTTTAAATGTTCAAATACTTGGATTGCGATGGGGCACTTGCGATTTCTGCGATTCGCGGACTCTGACACAAGCCTCATGAAATTGACGGGCTCGAAGGTTAGAACTGAGGTAGAGGTGGTCAGTGGGCCTAAGAAAAACCATGAGAAACAGCACAGAACCGAAGAAGTTGGATTCCTTCTCTGCCCTGCTCCCTTTTCAACGGTAAAGCTCCCTCTCTACTAACTAGCTGGAGACCCTCGGCGAGTGGTTAGCAAGTTAGTGGGCATACCGTGTCGATAGCGATGCAGGAAATGCCATACTAGATAGTGGAAGGAATATCTCGCCGTGAACTGCGTGCAGTTCGGCACATTTTACGGGGATTTGCTTTTCCCACAAGATAAGTTTTCCCTACATCGACCCTCGATCTTATCGTGGAATTTTCCTCGAAGCGTTTTTGTCGGATTCTTTTCCTTTTTTCTCTTGCCACCCATTTCCCACCAATCTTTCATGGTAGTGTGCAAGCACTACACAGTTCGATCCTGCGGCATGCCTTTGAAGCAACATCCCCAGATCAAATTCGTGGGGCCACAGCGGTCGATAATTGTGTGTGGATGTCGAGTTTGACTAAAAACGAACAGAATAAGCAAAGAAAACCGTCGATGAAGATATTTGCAAGTGTTCCCTCTCTTCCTCACTGGAATGAGGAGGGGCGGAACCGGACGAGCTGTACGAATTTGCTTGCTCCATGGCTCCACTAACCCATGCATTAGCCACTATGTCGTAATCAGCACTGTGTATCACAGAGTATGCGTGGGCTATCTCGTCTATAAGATCAGATGCCTTGGCTTCACTTTATAAGGCCCTGGTGACATTGTCTCGCATTTTCGAGCCGCAACCACGGCACGTCCGTGAGTGGGCTACTTTATCCTACCCACAGAATAGATTCTTCGTCCCGAGTTCTGTTGGGGTTTAGCTTAAGCTAACGGACAAGCCCACGTTGTCTTCAAAAACATCAATAACCTCGGAAACCCTTGATAATTCTGAGAGTTAGGCGAATCGCAACGGAGGCAGCCAAGTCTGTGTACTGTGGCGGCTGTCATCTAGATCCCAGACCTCAATTCACTAACCTTGACTGTACTATCTAGATTATCGACCACCTGCCGAATATGCGAGCCCTCATCGAGTAGAGAAATTTCAGCCGTCTGCAAAAAGAATTTGAAAGGAAAAAATCGAACAAAACCGGGATGCGCTGACAGTTGTTCAATTCTCATAATTGATAACAAGGGCTTTGATTGATGTGCAAAAACTCACAAGAACCGGCATCAAAGTTCCAATGAAAAACGAAAACTGGGTACGCTGTTCACTGAGAACCTGACTGCACAGTTGACGTTGTTCAGAGACAGCAGCTGGATCGGGTCGGCCTTTCCGTGTTCTCACCTTAAAATCGAAGCACGTGAAGTTGAAAACTGTTGAGGGGTGGCCACCGAAAAAATTGATTTTCCGGGAAGAGAAAAAAGATAACTTCTGTAGCAAAGTTTTCAAAAAACGAACGAAACTTCAGAAAACTTCTTTGTTAACATCCGGATAGCAATATGACCAATAAAGATGTGAAAGCATTCCCGTCGCCAGCATTTGTGACAGATGTCCGGCGGTACTTTGAACGCGTAGCAGCCCTTTCGGTTTTTCGAATTTTTTTACCAAAACAAATGCAATTTTTCTGTTCTTTTCATTCTTATCGTGAATGATGGGTCTCAAGCCAGTGAATTAAAGGCAAAAGTCGGGCTCAATAAGGGGGTATTATGGCGATTGAAACTGAGTATAGAGATGCGAAGTGGAACGACAGTGGAGAAAAAACTGAGAAAAACCGTCGACAAGGCCGTTAACAAAACCCTCTTTCCCACTAGCAGTGAAGGAGGCTGGCTTGGGAAAGAGGCACGTACAAACAAGTTTTCTGGAGATGTCAGTCGTTCTATCGGTTGATACGGCAATCAACCTAGCTGATTTCACACGTTATGCCAGCCACGCACCACTTCCGGAGGTGGGCGGTCCTGGATTGACCAGGCGGCCCTGGATTGAAACCGAACGCCCGGGGCCTTAACGGGGTTTTTCAAGGTGGGAAGTTGCTGCAATGTGTGCAGCTACCCACATACAACCTCCAGGCACGGGAATTACTTCTCTAGCGTGCCTGAGCCCGACCTTTGCCTTAAAGGACGAATTCACGCTGGAAAGGCAACCCATTTCAAATTAACTTAGGGATGGTGAGTGGTACACGAAAGAAGGAAAACCATGAGAAACGGCCCAGAACCTGAGAAATGGGACCACTTCCTTGCCCGTTGATTTGAGCATTGATGCGACTATCATCGCTGTGCCCTCTTCAACGCTACGCTCTCTCACCTATCTAATCACTCACCACGTATAGACCTGCGGCGAGTGATCAGATGATCGGTGGGCGTGCACTGACCAGCCGCGGCGGGATTAAACCTTAATAGGTCAACGAGGTCAACTCCTCCTGTGCAAATTGTGCTTCAGTTCGCACACTTAGGAGCTCCGCGGGTCCCTCAACCAGGTGAATTCTTCCTAATTCGATTTTCCCTCTGATCGTGAATTCGTCCTTTAACTTCCTAGCGTGCCTGAGCCCAGCCTTTGCCTTTAAGGCTGAAATTGAACCATGATTTTTCCGTGAAGAATTCCTTTACCCATCCCTTTTTATAGGTAAAGAGCGGAAGTAGAGTAGTGAGTGGTCGACTTGCGCATGAAAAGATGAATTGTGTCCCGATGAAATGTCGAGTGAACTTGTTTGGGTGGCTTTAAACTTATATCACTAGTTTTCTGTTAAGCAACTCTATAAAGGTTAACAAATGGCACCCGAGAACAGAACGAATAAGATGACAAGAAAAACGAGTCACATTTTCAATCATTTCTTTCACAGCTGGGACTACTACTGACTTCACTTCTTAGCAAACAGGCAACTCAGGTACTTTCTACACTCCAAATATACCACTGGCGCACCCACTTCAAAATGAGCACAGATTTTGCGCGCGTATAGTCGACATTCAGTTTTTTCGTGCATTACCTCTGTGCTGATAGCGCTATCATGGGGGAGATCACCGTCACTCTTTTACCTTTTTCGGCCATTTTACTCACTCCCCGAGCACATATTGAAACGGCTGAAACATGAACCCTACTATGCTATCCTTGCGGACCCCATTCACAAATCTTGACCCTTGCCAGCAACATTTAACCACTACCATCTATTTTTTAGAGGAATTGTGTAAGGAGGCTGCACGATTCTATTTACCCGATTAATCGGTATCTTGACACCAATCCGTCACGATAATTAATAGAAGAACGAATAAAACTGTCTGTCGTGATACAGTCAAGAAAAACTAGTAACACTATCATTCATAAAAATTTCCAAAGTGCAAGTCTCCGTGCACGATGCTTTTACTTCCCGTCCTCCAGCTCCTTCCCCTTTGCACTTGCAGCTAATCAAGGTACTCACTGAACGGGGCGGGCATTGACAACGAAGAGGGAAGATATTACTGGTTCCTCGAAATAAGTCTATTAAACAACTTGCCTTTTTCACATGTTTAGCGGCACTCTTGTCTAGTTCAGCGGTCCTCTGCTTCCAATAAGCTGCCCGTTGCTGAATGCCTCACGCTGTCTCTATGTATTTTTTACCGTCTTAATATATATGCCCTGCGTGGGATGCTCCACACGTTGGCCTTGTAGATTGCTGCCAGTGCATCTGCCACTGCTCTCATCCGATGCTCCAGAGCTCGTTCACGCATGCAGACTCTGGTCATACAGACTCCCATGTCCCGAGCAGCTCCTGGAATATCAAACGAGAAACGTCGTTGATGAAGAAAAGAGAGGGCAAACTACACATCAACAAATCTGTAAATGGCACAATTTTACACTATTAGTAATTAATCAGTTACTACAATCGGCGCCATCGCAGAGATGGGGGCGTTGTGGTGGTCATGCATTTGAAACCACGTAAAATATATCCTTTCTTCTAAGGAACGGGACTGAGCCCTAGGCGTGGGAGAAGAGACTCCAGGATACGTGAGCAATCTCCACTTTTCCCGAACTTCCTGCCCTTCCCAGACTCAGTCTCAAAGCATGCCCGTCTCCAGGATATACAGGAGCACACATTAGGGTCCAGCCCAGCCCATCCACCCCATTTCCTCCGCTCCCGTATCAACGCCACTTCCTCGTTATACGCCCATTTTGACACCGCTTTGAAGAATCCCCGGATTCACGATCACTTCCCTCCCACATAGGACAAGGGCAATTCTACGCCCTAACATGAACTGCCTTCAAAACTTCATACACTTCCTCTTCGATTTTCATTTTCGAGCTCAAGCAACCTTGGCAACGCGAATAACTAACCTTTTAAATTATTTGCATAATCGCTCACGGCCTGTATTGAGTCCACAAATCCTGCAATGCAAGCTGCGGTAGCCCTTAGCTGCGCCGATAGCTTCTGCGCTCGTTGGCCGACCATTTCCCATGCCGGATACGACTGCTGCAATAAAAAATTCAATAATCACCCGTTCCTTGAAGTGAACATCCACGAAAAGTGCACAAGCTCATTCGTTCATCAATTTCAGCGATATTTCATCTAGCCACACTTCCGAACATCCATCAAAAGCAGTAAGCAATCAATTCTCCCCTTGCAAACCTTTTAATGATTACACAAATGAAAGACAAAACTTCTTAGATTTCAAGATCAGATTTAAAT